GCTCGCCTCGGCCGCTGCCGCCGCAGCCGCCGCCACGTCCGGGAGGCTCTGCCCAGGCCGGCCCGCTGCGAGCGCCTCAGGGGCGCCGGCAGGATCAGACCCCGGCCGGCAACGCGCTCTTCCCCGCCTCACACCCTGTCGCCAACTCGGTCCCCAACGGAAAGTTCAGCTTCGGATGCGTTTTTAAAAAGAAAAAAGAAATTAAAAAGGGTAAGGGGGTGTGTGTTTAGGACACGGGGAGGCGGTGAAGAGGAGAGGGCAACTTCTCCCTGGGAAACCGCCCCCTACCGAGACCCGAAAGCTGAAGCACACGAGTTCGTTCGAGGTGGTTTTTTCCTTTCCTTTCCTCCCCCCCCCCCACCCCTTCTCTGCTGATTAAAGAGACGGACCTTGGTCCTGGCTGCTCCCGCTGCTGGGTGACAAGAGCCAGTGCTGCTGCTGCCGCTGCCGCCGCCGCCGCCGCCTCAGCCTCAGCCGCCGCCTCCCCTCTCGCCCTTTCGCCTCCCTCCCGCTCCCTCTCCCCGGCCGCATTCCCTGCCTTCTTCCTCCTTCCCAGCACCATGGAGTTCTCCGAAAGGAAAAGAAGCAGGAAATCCCAAAGCTTCAAACTGGTGAACCGAGGTAAGCGGCGGGCCAGGGGCGGGGGCCAGGGGTCGTGCGGGTCGGCGCCGGCGGCGGGAGAAAGGACTTCGCGCGGCGTAAACATCCCCGCACCGGGCCCCGCGGCCCCTCGCCCTCGGCGGCGGGCTTCAACTCCGGGGGCTTGTCTTCCTGGACCCCCAAACTCCCCTCCCAAGTGAGGTGTCGGAGGAGGGGCCGCGGCGGAGGGGGCTGCAGCCGCTAAAGCCCGGCCGCGAGGAAAGTTGTGCGGGGGGGGAGGCAGGATGTTATTTAACGTAAACAAGTCGGAGGCATATCAGGAAATTAGCAAACAATGACACTTGGGGAGCAAAGAGCCTTCTTTGGTATTCCACTCCTGTGGCTAGGTTGGGGGGTGGGGGAGAGTTGCCTTTTCTTGAGGCCGTGCTCGTACGAATCCGGACGAATGATTTTTTTTTCCCCCCAAAGAGAAAGAAAGAAGGTGGTGGTTCTTTTAAGAAGAAGGAAAAAAGCTCATTAGGTGTACAAGCCCAGATAAGAATTGTTGACATCCAACATGTTTTCTAGATATGTGATTTGGGTTGGAAAAATATTTTAGAGTAGATCACTTACCAGTCGGATAACTATCTCACAGGGGGAAAAAAAAAAAAAAAAAAACCCTTCTAGTTCCTGATCATTTAACAGGTGTATAACACAGCCTTTGAGCTTTGGTTATTTTATTAGAGGAGGGTAAAGTTGTATACAGTAATGTCTGTCTGTTTAGTTGCTTGTTAGAATCTTTATTTTCCTGATTAGACTTTTTTAAAAATGATGAGAACTAAAGACATACAAATATGTCTCTCAAAATGCATTGTGTCTTCTTAAATTGGAGGCAGGTGACTTTTTTCATTGTCATGTCACAAGTTCTAATATTGAGTTTAGAACCACCCTGTTTAAATATCTTCTTTGAATCAAACTGAGGGCCAGACAAAACCACAGACCTATCCACTTTTCCTCTGGTGTTTTATCTAGCATTGACATCAGAGTAGAGAGCAAAAACGATTGTTTTAACCACCTGGGGAAGTCACATATAAACTGATGAAAATTAGAGGGCTATTGCAAATAATAGCGTTTTTTAAAGTAAGCTAAGCTAACTGATGTGTATTCCATAAAGCCTACATTCGTTTAGTCTGAAAATGGTTTGATTATAGACATTTTGAAGATCTAATCATATCTCTTTCCCCCAAATTTAGTTTGGACACCTTAATGGAAGAGCCTAAAATAGTTTTATATATTCAAAATATTTGGCTCTTTCCACTTTCTATATAAAATTTTTTCGACAGTACTGATTACTCAATTACTTGTACTTTAATAAAAGTTTCTCCATATGTGACTAGCCTGTTGGTGCTGTCTGATTCGTTCAGGAATGTAGGCTGCTTTTATATTTATGACCTTAGGGAACTTACTACTTTATCTTAAGAGTGAGAGTAGTTTTATAGACGTTGACCTGTGAGGTCTAAGGCCAAAAAGGGAAGAGCTGTTATGAAAGAATGTATATCTTCATGCCTAGGTGTTCCTACTTTTTAGAAATAGGAGATTGCCAAAGCACAGAAGCCACGAGAGAAAAGCTTGTAAAATAATGTACTTTAATGTTTGACTGACGTAGCAAGTTTTTTCTTTTTCTTTTTTTAAATTATCGGTCTGATTCTTCTCTATGCTCTGCAGGTGCATTTTTAGAAAATAAGCGATTGCATATTAAAGTGCAGTAGCTGAATGCAAAAGGTTCACTTGTGTGAAAGATGAGAATCTTGCTTTCTTATCCAAATTATACTATATTTGAAATAACAAATCAGTATTTTTCATGTGTGCTCACCTTTAAACTGCTTAACGATGGCAGTTTTTTTTTTTTTGAGTAAACTGAGAAAACTGAAAGAGTGCCAGGTAGCTCTAAAACAGTTGGTAGGCCCAAGAAAACGCGTTGTGGAGATAAATTTGGAAACCTCCCCTGGCCTGTGATTGGGTGAGGTTTTTCTTTTCCGTATAAACATACTCTGAAATGAAAGAAGCTTAATAATTGGCATCTGCAGGCCAAATTACTGGGAAAACTATATGATCGAGCAAAGCTGTTTTCTGAAGTCAAAGTAGTATTTCAACGTTGCATACTTTCCTCAGAGTAAGCGAAGTTTTTAGGGATTATTATTGACTACAAGTCTATGGTTTACTGGGTTCTTGGAAACTATATTTATAAATTAAAGCATAGATTATGCTTCTAGTCTTTATTGGGATTCTAGTCTATTGCTTATTCATATCTTGCAGGTCATTAAAATTCTAATTTTTGGTTGTTTTCTCATCCCAGATTATCACCATGAGGTATATACGATCTCAGAATTCAGCAGTGATGTTAATGGGGAGGCCAAAGAGACACAACCCATTTTTTTAGGTAGGTTCTTATGTCAATTAATTTCTCAGCAAAATAGCGTGGCCATTTGCAATTAGGAAGAAAAAAAAAGATTGTGCAAGAACGGGAAATGCCTGCCATTGCTTAATGTATGACACTTTTCAAGACCTTTTATTTTACAAATTGCCAATATATCCCTTATTAACATTGCTAAAAGTTGTAATTTCAGACATAAATGTTTATTAGTGTCTACACACAGTGCTAATTATCACTCACTCACAGAGCCAGATGCTGACTGTGCAGTTTTATGGCTCTGTGCTCACCCCATTTACATTGCATATTCGCTGGCATGCTTCACTGGCAATAGTTTGTGTAATTGGGGTATTACATCTTTGACATCTGGATAACAGAAATTCAATTTCCAGGAAGCTGCTATTTGTTTGGTTTGCTTCTGCCTTGGGTGGGATAGAGGATTAATGTGCTGTCTTATTACAACGTCCCTTCACCTCTGTGGCCTGGTTGCTAATCCTGCCATGACAAAATTAAATTAAATCTAAAGTCAGAAAGCATAAGGAAAATAAAAGTGTGATTGCCTGTCTAACCACTTCTTGGTAGTCCTAGTTACCACTGAGCAGCTCCTCATTTTCATGGCTTTGTGTTCATTTCACACCAACATTTTTGGTCAGAGAGACCAGCCACAGCCATGCTTTTCCCTTACTGTCCTCATTCCCAGTTCACCTCAGGGACAAGTGGAGCAAAAGCAGCATCTCTGAGTCCGTTAGACAAGTGTAGCTACATGATGGTGATGGATGGGTAGGTAGCCAAAAATGTTGCCTCTCTTTCCACGTGTAGTTTTTGGTACAAATACTGTACGTGAAGAACCTAAGATACGTGGTTTTTGATTTGCAAACTGTGAGCCTAAACTTAAACCACTTAGGATTTTGCCAGTAGAGTGAATTACCCATAAAATAGTAGTGAAGAGTAAATGGTGGCATTTAGCTTCAGCCTTACCCATTCTGGACACCTCTGCACCCTTAGTAGAATGAGGGCTGGAAGCTGCACAACCAGGAAGCAGAAAATGAGAAAGTCAGGGCAAGAGTCATTAAAAGCAAGGGCAAGAATTGTCATATCACAGGGAAGAACTGATAGGACTTAGGGAAGCAGGATTGCCACGTAGACCCAGGGCGTAGTGCTTCCAGTTAAGCAACGTGAAAGCCAAAGGGTGTAGTGTTCTATCACCTGGATCTCTATGTTCTGCTTTAAGGAAGAGAAAGGGTGGGGTTGCAAAGGAGCGAAAAGAAATCAAATAGATACTTAAGCAAAGTAGGAGGGAAATATTTCTTACACAAGTGATCATTGAAGGTGTATAGATATTTCCAGTGAGGTAGAGAATATTACTCAGGGCAGCACTGCTCTCACCACCTGTTCACTGTTGTTAAGATAACAAAAAACCCAAAGGTTAAAAAAAATCCAAAGGTTAATAATCAAGTGAAATGCTGCAACCCAGAAAGAGAATCTTCTTGGACTGTATTCTTTTCAGTTCCCTAAACTTCATCGGTTGGAATTCTGATTTTGCCATTTGAAATGAAGAATTTGCCTCAGTAGAAAATTTACATTTATCTTAAGAATGGTACATCGTGTCTTTGATTTAGTTATTTTCCAAAGAAGCAGGCTTTTTTCCCCTTTTCTGTTGTGTACTTGGAAAACAGTAATGTTGCTATACAGTCACTTAGTTTTGAGTATGAGAAAGTGGGAGCTGAAGAACAGGAGGATGCTAGTGCTCAGAATTCAAGAAAATGTACACTTCCAAAGGTGGCAGGTATTGCTGCTTTCCCAGCCCGTGACCAAGAAAATATGAGAATATCAAAAGACTAGGCTTGGCATAAGTTTTCAAAGTTATCGGTCAAAAAGACTTTAGATATCAAGAGACAAAAATTTAGCAGCATAGCAGTGTGGGCTGTGGGTTATTCCTCAGTCTCTTGCTTATGATGGGGAAAGTAATAAAATTCCCAAAGAATATTTTTATTTTGTGATCTCCAGGTCAATTAAAAAAATAGTGGAAGAACAAATAACTACACAAACATAATTTCTAGAGCAAAATATCAGTATTTTACCGATGGCATCTGAAATTTAGATTTTTTGTCATTGACAATGTTATAACGTGGACTTTCTTAGTTTATAGTTACTCTTCTCAAAACATAGATTTAAATTATGCCTCTTTTGGAATTTACTAGGGTCTTACTTATTGTGGTGTAGAGTTCTGTATGAGGTTTATGACATCAAACGGAGTTTGTTACTAGAATACCAAAACAACTGTTTCATGTGTACTTCTGTACTAAAACATGGCTCTGCAGATATTGTATAGTATTTTCTGTGTTAAGACATGTGTTACCTTTTTTTTAAAATTGTACTTTAGATGAAGGTTTACAGACCAAACTAGCTTCTCATTAAACAGTATACATATTGTTTTATGACATTAGTTAACAACCCCATGACATGTCAGTACTCTCCCTTCTTGGCCTTGGGTTCCCTATTACCAGCTTTCCTTTCCCCTCCTGCTTTCTAGTCCTTTACCCTGGGCTGGTGTGCCCCTATAGTCTCGTTTTGTCCTATGGGCCTGTCTAATCTTTGGCTAAAAGGTGAATCTCAGGAGCGACTTTATTGTTAAGCTAAAAGGGTGTTCAGGGGCCATATTCTCAGGGTTTCTCCAGGCTCCGTCAGGCCAGTAAGTCTGCTCTTTTTTTTGAGTTAGAATTTTGTTCTACATTTTTCTCCAGCTCTGTCCCGGACCCTCTGTTATGATCCCTGTCAGAGCAGTCAGTGGTGGTAGCCAGGCACCATCTGGTTGTACTAGACTCAGTCTGGTGGACGCCATGGTAGTTGTGTCTATTAGTCCTTTGAACTAATCTTTCCCTTTTGTCTTTAGTTTTTTTCATTTTCCCTTGCTCCTGAAGGGGTGAGACCAGTGGAGTATGTTAGGTGGCCACTCACAGGCTTTTAAGACCCCAGACGCTGCTCACTAAAGTTGAATGTAGAACATTTTCTTTATAAAGTATGCTATGCCAGTTGAGCTAGATGTTTGTTCCCTGAGACCATGGTCCCCACAGTCCTCAGCCCAGTAATTTGGTCCCTCAGGGAATTTGGATTTGTCCACATGGAGCTTCCGACTTCCATGACCTTAACCTGAAAAAGTTGTGCTGGCTTCCCCAGTATTGTGTATTGTATTACCCTTCAAAAAAGTTAACCACTTACCACCCATTGTCTATTTAGTGTTTTTCCACCCCAACGCTTTCCCTCCATCGTAACCATCAAAGATTGTTTCTTTTCATGTGTAAACCTTTTCATAAGTTTTTATACTAGTGGTCTCATACAATATTTGTCCTTTTTGTGATTGACTTATTTCTCTCAGCATAATACCCTCCAGATTCATCCATGTTGGGAGATACTTCACAGATTCATCATTGTTCTTTATCACTGCATAGTACTCCATTGTGTGTATGTACGATAGTTTGTTCATCCGTTCATCTGTTGATGGGCATCTAAGTTGTTTCCATCTTTTTGCTCTTGTGAACAGTGCTGCAGTGAACATCGGTGTGCATATGTCTATTCGTGTGACGGCTCTTATTTCTCTAGGCTATATTCTTAGGAGTAGCATTGCTGGATCG